GAAAGCAAAATGGGAAGTAAGCGTGAGGTAGGAGGACTTAATTTTTTTTAAACGACAACACCCTGGTCGGACAAGAGGTCCAGGCTGGGATCGCAGACGAATAATAGAGATCACCAGATTTCGAGGCCCATTTCCCGTAGCTAAGAAAACGCGGATCAATACCACGATTTGCGGACTCAGTATCTGCTACTGCTTTCTGCTTATAACCCCGATGATGACTCTGTGACGCAGGTCGAAACGTCAGGCGAATACAAGTGTTGTCCCAGCGACCGAGTCGTCTTCTTCTGGACTCAGTATTTATCGATACTTTTTATGTTCAATTAAAATGGCATGAAATCTCCAACGCACATGCAATAAGCGTAGCATTCAGTGTGCGATTAACCTGCAGACAGAGGAATTCATTTCAGCTACTTGTGAAGACCTCGGGGACTTCGATGGGGTTCGAACCCACACCAGCCAGGGCAAAGCTTGAATACAGCCAACGCTCTAGCCAACTGAGCAGCAGATAATGGATTCCAGCCAAAATATTCGTATAAACATTCGGGCCGGACCTTAAAAGGTTTGAGTTGACCCAATTGTGAAAACCTCGAGGCGTTCGGCGGGATCTGAACCCGCGTAGTATATAAGGCCTTTACTGAAAGCCAAAGCCCTAACCACTGAGCTACAAACGCCCCACCCCACGCCATGAATTTAATCACACTTGGGTCAAGTTTTTCACAATTGGGTCAACTCCTAATATTTAAAAGGTTTGTTTTCCGAAGGATTTACTCCAAGTTCACGCATAAATTTTCTCACAATACAGGATGCCAAATTGGAGTTCGTATACCGGAAAATACACGGGGAACGCTGGGACAGTGCTCATGACCCTCCTCACAGCTGAGCTAGGGGGCGACACAACATCGGCGAATGGTCCTTTTGCCCAGTACCTGTGCTGTACGTATGACAAGTAAGTACATATTTGAATTTCCTATATTTGAAAAGTACAAAATGACTGACTGATAATCGGAGCCAAGGGCTTGGGGGGAGGGATCGCATTTGACAGAGACAAAAGGTAACGTAGAAATAGTTGACCTCTCTGCAATACAGCTGGCTTTATGGGAAACTTCAGGAAGGGTGAATATGATCGAGTTGTAACCCTAACCGAACAATTAACCTCAATCCAAACCTTAATCCTAATTGCTCTGGAAAGAAGCGCAAGATTCTCGGAATTGGGGGGGATTCCTACTGCAGTGTCTGGCCAGGCAAGCCTGACTGTTCTACAGACGAATGGCCTCAGAAGCACAAAGACCCCACCAACGAGCATCAATTGGAGGATTATAAACTGCGACATGCAATGTTGCCAACATAACAGGCGGCTGAAGACTCACCAGACTTTCCTGGGGACTCGGATGAGGCGCCAGCAGCAGCGGATTTCGAGGCACCTGAGCCTGCCAGACCAGAGTCAACTGCCAGACCGGCAAGGCCTGAGAGGACACCCGCAGCCACGCCTCGAACACCCGATGACTGACTGAGCTGAATGAGCCGTTGAGCCAGAGGTAAGTCGTAGTCAGCGGTGCTCATCCTCCGCAGAGCGCGAATCTGCAGGGAATGCAAATAAATAGCCATGACTACTGCCTTGATTTCAGTAGACGTTTTATGTACATTAAAGATGACTCGAACGAACATGTTAATAGTGGCAGTGCCGGGAAGGTGCTGTACACTGCTACCACGCAAAACCCTCACCTGCTTAACCCTTCATATTTCGTAAATTCGTCTATGAAAACTTGCCTACATTTGAAGGTAGACCAAAAAACACAGGAGGGAAAGCCCTCTCGGAAAGTACAACAAGACGAACCTCCTTTGCAATCATACGGAGCTTGGCGAAATTGACAAGATTGTCGGCATAGCGAGAGGGGTTGCCCAAGTGAATGAAAGTTAAATCTTTCAGAACCAGGGGGAGGTAGGGAACCAGAGGGGCATGCGGGCCTTCTGCAGTCAGCAGGTTTCGGTAGTGAAAGAAGTTCCGAGACGGATCGAGGACAAGCTGCGCGAGGGACAAAAAGGAGTTAAAAAAGGCATTTCAACGGGGAACTATGGCGGTGGACATGTCTAGCGGAAAATTGGAGGCAGAAAACACTAGAAAAAAGTTATCATTACTCTGCCTTGCATTCTTGCCGGTAGTTGGGACCGAGAGTTTATTTAGGAAGCTGAGAAGTTTAAAAAATCATGGAAATAGGGGGTAAATAGCTAGTTTTATGTGGTGTTGAGCTAGGGATTTGGGGTTAGCATGGGAAACACGGAGTTATGGTCGAGTTTAAGTCTAAAAGAAGCTAACAACTCCAAAGGCTAATCTTAACTACGAAGTATATCACATAAAACCAACTACTTATCTTAACCACAGACTATACAAAAAGTCCAAGCTAATCCTAAACAACAAACACTAACTACCAGCATCAACTAATAAAGCTAATTATTAAACCAAACAACTAACCTCAATTAAAAAATCGACCGTTTCGGCAGGAAACTCAATCCCAAATTACCTAGCCTAGCCTGGCCACAGCCCTAAACCGAAAACCCAATCCTCTGGTCATAATCCTGGTCTATCACGCCTAAGCTTAACCACCTAATCCAATTTACAAAACTGCTTAATTCAAAACTCTTCAAACAAACTCCCTGAAACCCCTGTTCGTGACTGCCGAACAGAATGCAAGCCAGAGTAATTACGCTTACTCATTTCGTTTCAGCAGCCATATAATAATGTACTCAACAAATGGAATTGCAGAGCCATTTGTTGTCTACATTTTTAACCACTAGGATAGACAACCTTGCAAGACGGACTTTACCAGTGAAGTTGGAAGTGGGCTATTCCTTGCTTACACAGCAGGTGAATGTTGAAACCACATTTTAAAAAGCAGTCTCACAAAGGTTTTAGTACAACGTTTATACCTTCAATGACAATACTATGGTGTCGTCCCAGAGGCAAAACAACAATTCAAGTAGATGGTGGCGTCCACTTGCCGAGGATCTTAAGCCTATATCTGCGCATGTCTATGACTATGATACCAGTACCTATGATTTCCGATTCCCGTTGGAATCCGAAACGTCAGGACAATAAAACTCTTGTTCCAGTGGTCACCCTTCCTTCTTATGATCTTAAGCCTGCAGAAAGACAAGGATAGCGATGAAAAAGCCTGGAGCAAACCCAACCAATAACAACTGAAAATGTCAAAAAACGCTCACAGCCAAGTCTCGACAGAGCTTCACGTATTTGTTTGGCAGACGTTCCCAAGTTTGGCGCAGTCGCTCCACAGGAGCCATGTGTAAACCAACGAGGATGCAAAACATCGTGTTGTAATTGCGTAGGTCGCGGCACAGCTTGGCCATCTGCAGATAGAAACAATCACGAAATTTAAATAAATCAGTGCTACTGACATTTAGGTAGTAGACACTTTAACGGCGTAAAGATGGACGCACCTTGATAAAACGCTTTAGACTGTCTACGCGCTTGGAGAGAGTCTGCTCCGCACAAATTTCACTTGGCACCCAGTAGGCTTCCTTATTTACCAGTTCGGCAAACCGATCCAGGTTCCCGAAGCCCGTAGCGAAACCGGTATTGCCAGTTAGGGGCTCCTGGCCAAGGGACGTTGAGTCGGGTTCAGATGAGTAACCGGAGGAGGCTGAACCCGTGGCTGAAGAGGCAGCGGCAGCACCCACACTGCTGCTCAGGCCAGTAGCACTTGTACGCGAATTTTCCACAGCAGGTGTGCTGGGGAGGTTCAGATTGAACACCTTGTCCACGTACTCTGTCGCTTCAACTGACCGGAAGACGGAGTAGTCGTCCAGTGTCAACTGGATGCATAGTGTTTCGGGAGAGAGCTAGAAAAGAAAGGAAGCACAGGAGCGT